TCCATCAATTTGTTGTGTACAATTCATAATACTATGTGATGATTAAACATTAATTCGGCCCTCTGAGGGAAGACGTAACTCCATAGTGGCCCTTGACAAAAATGAGTTTGACACCCCTGCTTTAAAAGGTCATGGGTGAGCTAGCTGAAGCCTATCCCAGCTGACCCTAGGCGGGTCGCCAATCAATTATAGATCACAGACAAAAGAAAGATGACTTTACAGTGAACGCCCACTTCACACAAGCCCTCATGAAATAGGTGAAAATCCGCAATATAGAGAGCCCATATTAATTAAAACAAAATCGTTTCAACAATCCTACACACTTCAGCACACTTAACTTATTGAAACACACTTTAGAAGCACTCTTGAGTGCCCGTTCTCCAGGTTCATTTGCTGAATATCTCCCATTTGCAATTTAATGGGATTCATATCTTGTTCAAGTCATTCCTTCAGCCCGTATCTCACTGAATGGCGAAAAGCTTGCGAGTGTTTGCACACGTAGCGAATGTTGTTTTTTTTTGACAGGGTTCCTTCAAGCTTGCAAGAATGTTGGCAAACAGTTTTGACGGTGTTCAAAATTTCTTGGCGGAATTTTGGCCAACCCGAGCAACTGATGGGTATTTTTAACTGAAAGTTGATAGCCAATCGGAGGAGGGGCTTCCCCGAGTTCACGACCATACAAAAGGGTCGAGGAGAACGTTGAGAAATAATGAAGTTGGACAATTGTACTCTAATTTGAAAGTGTTCTCTGGACCTCATTATCCAATTTTCAAACATTTTCTTGGTGGCTTGTATTCAGGATGAAGTGCCCATTCCAACCAGACTCAGCATTTTGACAAGAGTGGCATTTTTGGGAAATCTTTTCACTCTGCTAGTAAATCTATGAGATTGGTCATGGAATTAATTAAAATTTATAAGTCTTGGTACAGCTGTAATTATTCTACTGTAGTACAAGTGCGACTGCAGCTGTTGTGTTACTCAGTCAGTCACCTTGTCTACCGCATTTTCTTCATTTGTTCCAACATCCTCTTCTCTTTGTTGCAAGGAACAAACAAAAGAGACAACTCTTGGGATTTCTTCTTGTTTATTTCAGCAATCGAGAAAAAACATTGCCACAAGGTGTCCTAACTATTCAACACAAACGCCGCATGGTAAACACGCTGGCTCTAGCTCACCACCTTTCCCTGCCGGCGTGTTATGAAATCACCTTTTCGCAAATGGAATGTCTCCTGTCATAGATTGCCAGCGTCCGCGTCCATCACACCATTTCTCATTTTGGTCAGCGTTACACAGCCCTCGTTTCTCCTCGCCACCACGCGCGCACAACATCCCCTTCCCATCCCGCGCCGCCTCCTCCTGGTTTGACTAAAATCCAATTTACTGGCTGTCAACTCAACTCTATAATCCCATCCACAGCTGTAGTGGAGAGGTAGCGCTTTACTGTATTCTCTGGTTACAGCTATATACACCAGCTCTCCCCACCGCCGCGCTCCATACGCTGCCGCCGCCACCTCTTTTTGGCCAGAATGTATGGAGAGCGAGATGAACACATAGTGTGTCTTTGGAGATTAAAAAAATAAATAAATAAAAGCCTTTCAATGTCAGAGAGTTCTCGTGTTCACGGAGTAAGTACGCTTTATCGCGCCCGTAAAGACACATCCGGCACTTTTGCCAGGTAGCGACGGAGTGGGGGGGATCGGCATGTACGGATGCAGCCGCGGCCGAAGGCTAAATCATCGCTACATACTGGAAGCTGGACTCTTATGCTATCTGTAGCGAGCACTTTCTTTGCTGACTCCGACATTAAGGAGTGTGGGCCCAGCCTGAGTGGCTGTTTGCAGAAAGAGCCTTAAAGGGGACATTAAAGCAAAATTGACGCCTCAAGGGCTTGTATCAAATAGAGGGACGAGGCCCTGCCGGAAATAGTCATCGATACTTAGCCAAAATGTTCATAGCTGCCGATATCAGTTCTTCTCAAAATGCAGTACTCATCAAGTGAGGGCTCCCTCTAGTGGTACAACAAAGAAAAGTAAAGTTCCGGTGTATTTATCAACTCATTTGCCCCTAATATTGAAGAACAGCATATTTGTAGAAATGTATTCTTTGTGGTGGTGTAAGAAATGGGCCAAAAATAATTCATTACAAGTTTATGCAGATCTGGATGAATGTGTCGATTCGTTTCCTTAAAATGCTCAATGAATAATTCATGCATCTTCACGACCTGAATTTTGACCCATGTAAGCGTGGGTTTTACAAATTGGTACTGATCCAAATTAGGGTTGCTCGTCTATTTTGTACAGATCAAATGAATCAAACCAGCAACCACCAACTTTATAGCATCATGCTGCTTCCCTGCCACAGTGAATAAAAGTCACGGCCCAAACAGAGCATCTCCCTTCAACCTTTTGCATGTTGTCACATTCCTTAGGCCAAAAAAAAAAAAAAACAGGAGTGCATTTCATGAATGGCAATGAAGGTGAAAGTTTTACCGGAGAGAAGACATGGCCTCGCAATTATTCCGAGATGGTCCATTTGCACTTTTGTGCCATGCCCCCACGGTGCTGGTATGAAATGAAATGAGAGCAATGGATAGCCCTCTTAAGACCTCATATATCGTTTACATTTCCTTTATAGCCAAACAAGTTGTGTGCTCGCTTCTCTATAAATAAAACCGCATACGTTGATGGCCTTTTTATAAAGTGTGGCACAGATGAAGCCGGCCCGGGATTGTTTGTTGCGACATTAGATGGAGAGCGGCAATTACAGTAAGTGACGCAGTAATGAAAGGCACTACTCATATGGAAATGGTAATATTATACCCATTACAATGTCACCAAAACACATTTTAATGCATTTTAACCTTGCTGAGTCATGTACATCATTTGTATCTATAAAAGGCGTTAGAGTAAATTCTTTTGCAGCACTGGGTCTCGCACCGCTGAGTGATTTGGCTGAAGGAGATGATTAAAAGCAATTTTTAAAAATCTAATCAACAGATTATTATTAAAATGTATACATTGTGAAAAAAAAAATATATACACACACACGCGCACGCACACGCATGCACACACACACACAGCTAGCTAGCTAGATAGATGGATAGCTAGCTAGATAGATGGATAGCTAGCTTGCTAGATAGATAGATCGATATTTTTGTTCTGTTACAAAGGTATGAAAGTTCAAGATGGTACGTAGGCCCAAGTGGATTTTTATCATTGGATTGTGTATTCAGTGTCATAATAGAATAGGCAGTATGATACGGTCATGCAGTCACAACAATTGTAAATGACTCAAAAGCTGGAGGAGTTGTTCGTGGTTATTGTTATATTTTCTGTCTCTGTGAACCATTTGTGTTGGAATAGCCATTGCTTAAAGCATTAAAACACTGCCATATAGATGCTATTCATTCACGAATCTATGCCGTTTCCTGTCATGCGTTTGCATTAAGCTAGCGGACTTCATGATAAATGTGTGTTTATTGTTGTTTTGAAGATACAACTTGTAACTCTCTTTGTTTTATGTTTAGTTTGACAGTACAGTACCAGACAATGCAACAAACTGCTTGAAGCCTCTTTTTTTTTTGGAAGAAGAAGAAGAAAGATTCAATGTCTGCGAAACTGCTCCTTGTTATGAAGTAAGTTGAGTTCACGGCCTCCATCAAGCACTCGTTGGGCCACTCACATCTCAAGGCACCACAGTAACTCATTTTTTTCAGAGAATGTTCAAAAAGCAGTAAATAGTAACGTATTCATTTTGGCATTCCCTCACCCACACACGTGGAAAGAAAAAAAGGGAGGGGTGGGGGGGGGATTCAGGCTTTGTAGTACTTTGCACTATGAACCCAAACAGTGGTTGAAGAGTGCATGCAATAATCCTGCTGGTATAAGGAGCAATCATTGAAAACACAACCTTATTGTGGAAGTAATTGTCGTCCACAGTTTGCTTAAAAAAAGTTTGTTTAAAAATGCCAAACAGTGGCTTCATTAAGAGAAAATAATGCATTTCACCCGCACCTTTTCGCTCAAACAAGTCTAATCCGCTTCATTAAATCATCATTCCGAAAAACAGCCAATTTTTTAAGCTGCGCAGCAAACATGGAGGGGGGCGACATTAGCATTCCTTACGAGTTATCTTTCCGGCTGCCCTGATAAATGAAGCCAAGTATTCCCTTTTCCTTTTAGTTGGCGTTTGCACTTCAACATTCCCGAGGGAAATGTCAGAGTGTGTAGCTGCTAAACGCTCCGATGTATTCATTCACCAGCTCGTCAGCCTGACTGATAAATTGCAGCGGGATTTCAGGGATTTTGAGTGGAAAAACGACTTTTTTTCCCCTCTCCCATGAGGCCCAAGATGGAAATTTGCAAAACAAAACAAAACAAAACAAAAAACCGTGAAATTGGACAGCCTCTTATTGGAAAAAGCCCTGTTCAAATAATGGATAAAAATCTGATATGGATCAATTATTTACCAATCTGTAAGGCATCTATGTTATATACTACATGTGATAAATGTCCTGAAAAAGAATACACATGCAGATAAAAAAAATCTAAAATAAAAATATTAAATCTAAATAATTAATAAGTAGACCATTCAGTATGGTATAACTTATTCCGGTTGACTGCCACCATTTTGGAGTCTTCCATTTTTTCCTCGAAATTTTGCATTGCCCCTCTCTACTAAATGTGTTCCAATTTTGGTAGCACAAATAAAAACTCTGACTGACAAGGTTGTCTCTCATAGATGAAGAAAATGGCTGCTTGAAATCAAAATGACGCACTTCTCGGGTCTTTTGGGGGCATTGGTACTTGAACCTTCTCTTAGGGTCTAAACATGATAGTTTTTTCATCAACCAAATTTCTTTGGTTGCTTTCTTCCAGGGCTGAATTTTAGAAAGACATCTGCGAGGTGCTTCCGGCAGTATTAGAAAACCCTTAAAACTGTGATTTATTTTGGCTTCAAAATAATAACACCAGAGAGGCAATTTTTTTTTTCCGACTCACCGCATGTGCGTAAGAGCTGTAGGTGCTGAAGGGAAGGGCAATGGCGGGGTTGAAGATGCCAAACTGGCCGACCATCTGCTGCATGCGTCTGATGGTGCGCTCCTTGTCTGTGTCGGCGAACTTGACCACCAGGCTGGAGGAGGCGCCCTGGACGGAGGGCGGGGGCAAGAGAGGGTCGAGGTTAAAGGTCCGTTTGGTACATGGTCTTTGTCAGTGTCCTTTTACACCCATTTAAATTGACTTTTTAAGAAAAAAAATGAAAAAAATATTTGATAAGTGATGTATTATGGACATACCATTATCGTGACCATTGTCCTTGTAATTATAAAAACAATAAATCTAATCTTTAGAACATGTACTGTATGTACCGTATTTATTGGACTAAAAGTCATACTTTTTTTTGCATGTTTTTGGTTGGTCTCACGACTTTTACTCAGGTGTGAGACTTCTGGATACTGTGTTAAAACTAGAGCTCATAATAATCATGTTGATTGGTTGGATTTGAAACTTCAGGCGTCTAACAACAGATTTTTTTTTTCTTTTTAGTTGAAAATGGCTTCCCTGAACTACAATCCCGCATTGCGTTGCCAAATGTAGAATCCCGGTCGGTTATCGCATCTTTTGGTGGTGTAAATATCAAATCCTTGTGGCAGATGCCGCATGCTAAGTTAGCGAGCTAGCTGGGGACACAGTCCCTTGGTTTGCTGCCCTGAAAGTGACAGCAAACTAACGAAATATGTCACTCATTAATTGTCATGACTGGTTGTTTCTTCTCCTACTTTCTTTTGGCAGCTGGGAAATACTTTTAGTGCATTACCGTAGCCTTCTGAAATGGAGTGCGTGCAACAATATGCAATGATTTGCAAGTTTTGATTGGTGCAAATTAAACCTTGGAGTGGCTTATAGTCTGAAAAATGCAATAACTTGGATTCTTAAAAGAAGGACCCCCCCCCCCACACACACACACTCATTTTAAAACGATAAATGAACGCGCTATCATCAAGCAGCCATTGACCCTCGCTTAAAAGAAAATTGGTGGAATTGCTTTCATTTTGTCCATTTTAATCTTCTCCCTGGCCCTGTATTATCCGCACTTTGTTGTCGCCATTCGGCAGCGGGAAAACCAGATCCAGCGGATGCGCCGGCCACACACCCTTCATTAAGAATCTTCAAATGATTTAACGCTACAGTTGACCTTTTGTGCGCTCCGCCTCTCCGGTGCACCTCGCCCCCTATTGTGGCCAATCGATGCACATAAAAGGCCGAAATATTACTCTGATCTGACGGTGCGCAAAGGTTGTATGTCACTCACAATAAGAGGCCTCCCCCCGCTCTGAAATTGGTGCAAAGTTGTCAATAGCGTCAATCATAATGCTGAATGGTGGCGATGCTCAGCGGGTGCACCATTTATGTATTTTTGTATTTTTTCCCAAAGGATGAAGAAGTGGTCCTCATTTTACAACACAGCTCATGCCTACGGCATCAGTGAAAGCTGAATTTGCCACGTGTTTACATTTAACTAGCGTGCTCGACTTGGCAGACATGTTTGTAACCTTTAGTGTTGATGTTTATGAGAGAGTGCTTTGAGAGAGAGCGCGTATGTGTGAGCACAGGGTATTTTGCATGTTTTTGTACCTGAAAAGTAAACTACTGACCAGAGCCAGTCGATAAATGAAAGTGAAATGAAACGCAAACAATAAATAAGTGATGCCGTTTGTGCTACATACAGAGTGGAGTAGTACAATCGACCTGTTTAACAAAAGGTTGACCAAACCAATGTATGAGATGGACATGGTTGTGGCAACCAGATCTCGGATCTCAAGCAAATCTGCAGCTACTACTGAATGTGTTACAAACCGTTAAGCTAAGCTAACTGCCGCTGACTTGTCCTTTATATTTTCTGGCATTTTACAATGACTTCATTTTCACCTAAATCCAACTCTCTGGTTTTCACACCGGTTGCACCTTTAACTTCCGTAGCATAAATGTAGTCTTCTCTTCACAGGTCAAAACTGAAACTAATCACAATATCACAATACACTCTCTCTCTCTCTCTCTCTCTCTCTCTCTCTCTCTCTCTCTCTCTCAAGAATTGTAATTGTAGAGCACTATTTTAATTTTCTAACACACAAGAATGTTGATGACAACATAACCTCCCCGGAGTAGATCATAAACTGGCGACGACCATTTCAGTCTGTAACACCGACACATTATGACCACTCTCAGCCAAGACCAAGGTTAATTTTGACACCCTTGTACATTGGCACGCTTTATCTGTTGTGTCTGTCCAGCTCTTTAGTGTCTGTGTCATTAAGTTTATTGTGAGGTTTAACAGTGGCAGCATTAGACAAAGGGCAGTGTTGCACAGGAATACAGAGAAGTCAGTAATTCGAGTTCCTCCTCAATGGGGGGGAGGGGGCGGGAGGGGGAGAGAAAGCAAACGCTTTATAGTTTGCTGGTTTTCAGGATGGGATTTTTGTGGCAGTATGATACGGCTTCTACACTGCAGTGGATCCAGGTGATCTATGTCAATCTCTCTTACACTTTGAAATCCATGCACTCCCTCTTACATTCCACCAGAGATGTTACACTTCATCTCTCCTGCACACACTCGAAAAATTAAAAACAGGGAAACACCAAGCGTTCTATTTTCGTAAACAGCGCAGCTGCGGAGTCGTGCAAATGCCGACGGATTCTGATTTTCATATCAGGGTAAGGCCCACTGTGCCAGTTTGGCAGACAGGTCTCGACCAGAGACATAACAGAAGGAGTGTCATGCAGAAACGCCTGAGGGAGTGACAGTTTGGCGGCAGGGAGTCCATCGAAACCTTTGGCCTGTTCAGATCACGTCTAAGTGGCCGACGCGAGGTAGACAGCCGGCGTAATGTGATTTAAAGGGAATGAAGTCGGCTGTGACCACTCCCACAGTGGCCCAGCCCTCCTTATTGCTCATCCATCGACCTATGCGCAGAACGATCATGCATCCAATAGGAGAGCTGTTGGCGGAGTGATTTTAGAGTGACAGCACCAAGCGATTGTATGAAATGGATTGTATGGAGGAAATATTTAAATTTCACAGAGGAAATGTGTAAATGTAACCCTTCACACCCACTAAATAATCAAATACAATGCTCAGGCTACTAGTTAATATCATATTCTATTTCATTCTGTCTGAGGTTTTGCTTAAGGCATGTGAACTTTAAGCAAAAATCTCATTACATTTTTAACCTGCCTTGTGTGAACTGCTAGGTAAACAATGTACCATCCATCAATGTTCATCACTGAAAAGAAATTCTGCTCCTCTAGACTCCATAAAGCCATTTAATAGGCAATCAAACAACATGTTCAATCTATATTACAACACACCAGCATCTTTACAGATGCGCTTTATTATTCATCGGGGCTCACGGATTATTGCAGACCTTGCACTTTCATTTATTTATTTATTTTATTTATTTTTTACACAAAACAGGACTATCGCAATACACTTGAACTTGCATTTGGCAATGACGACATGAATAAATACTCTGCCCACCACCACCTGAGATTGCTCATCATGATTTGTGAAACCATCCAATGTATTGTATTATTGTGGCAATATTTTTCATACCATTATTTATATTATGTGTGTGTGTGTGTGTGTGCGTGCGCGCGGCGCAAGTGACGCTAATTCACAATTCCCATGTCCTGTCCGTCACGCAAATACTCTTCCTCCTACCTGGACTCACACATGTTATCCATACAAAATGCCCAATGCCCCCCCCCCACCCCCCACCACACACACCCCTGAATGGCAGCAATGTATTCATCGCAACTTCTACGAGCTGGAAAATGAAATCAAGTCAGGAAGCCTTTGACCCTTCCTCATGGCTGCCTGCGAGAGTGAAACACAGGCGGCGTGATATAGAAAGTGTGAGCACTCATGCATATGTTGTCGCCTTCAGCCTGATTTGGACAATTTCAAAGCAGGAGAGATTGCATCGAACAATCACACAGAATGCCTGCAGTAAATAAGCTCATCTAACTGCTTTCCTACCTATTATCACATTTCCTAAAAGGACGTTTAAAAACAACATCCAATTTATATGAAGGACCCACCCCGCCCCCCATTTGACGCTCAAAGTACAGTGGTACCTCTCCTTACAAATGTCTCTTGATCCGAAATTTTCAAGTTACGAAACGCCTCAACAGGAAAATATTGCCTCTTGTTCCGAAAGAAATTTCACGATCCGAAAGGTAAAAATACAGCAGGGGCTGCTACTCGCAGCTCCGAGTTTCCTGAACGCAACATACTTTTAGCTGCTCTGCCATTGGCTATCACCGAGCGTCATCCTGGCATCCCATTGGCTACGAGGGACCTCGACGAATAAAGGTTTTCTTATTCTTATTATTCTTATTCTTAAATGTCAGTCACCCAGAACAAGTTTTTACCAGTCCGGCGATTGCTCACTATGCTGATGTTTGCCTTGGACATTTTCGGAGGATTGTTAAAAGCCGACAAAAGCAAATGTCCTTGGATCAGTGCTTTACAAAACGCCAGGCAAAAACCACTTCTGAGAGAGAACATGAACTTAAGAAGGCAAAAAACAATGAGGGCGCCAGTTAAAAGTTAAATGACCATCATTTTTATTCTTGACTCTATTTTTAGTTTTCTTTACATTGTGCACAATTCTCATTTATTGTGCAATAATTTAATTGCAACACGTACTTGATGCATTTTTGATGCATTTTTATGCTTTAGAAAACATTTATTTCTGAGTTTTGGGGGACTTAGAACGGATTAGGGCATTTACATGGAAAACGCGTCTCTACAAAATTTTCTCGTTAATTTTCTTCCATAACCAATTCATTTCATAAGTAGAGGTACAACTGTATTATGCCCAGGTTGGTCCGTCAGTTCCTTTTTGCAACTAACGCGAACGTGACCCATTCAGGGGCACGTGTGGCTGGTTCGGTATGGCCTGCGTATCGAAACGGACGGTCACAGCCGGCTGACGGTGAGCTCCGTCCGCCGGCTGCCTCAGGATATGAGATGCTGATCATATTTCTATAATCAATTTAGCAGAGCAGGAGGTATAAATCCTGTCCATTCAATTTTCTCTCTCTCTCTCTCTCTCTGTCTCTCTCTACAATACCCCCTCCCCTCGGTTAAGGCCCCTTGCTTATAGTCAGATGAATTATTCAGCAGCCAATGTGGCAAAAGGTGGAGTAAACAAGTCTATTGCCTAATATCCCCAGAGGATGGCAAAAAGAGACGAGGCCGTGCCGAAGAGCCAGCAGAGATAGTGGGGCTGGAGCGATGGGGAAGGACAGTATCTTTGGAGAATGGACATCAAGAGTCGTTCCCGGCGACCTGCAGTCATTTGCACTTAGATTGACTCGCAGGGTTTCGCTCAAATGGCACAGCTGGCTTTCGAGTGGCTCTCTCTCCCCGCAACACATTTGGCGACCATTAATAATGGAATCATAAAAGGACAAACATGAGCTCCGCGAAGCGAGCTAGCAAGATAGATAGAGAGAAGAAGAGTTCAGAGTCCAGCTGCTTCCAACAAACAAAAATGCGGACGAAAGTGGCGCACACTTGAGGCCTTTTGTCATAATAAGTGATGCGCCTGCGTCAGCCGCTCCATTCTGGTCACCTTCTTCTTTTTTTTTTTTTTTTGACGAGTGGGTCTCGAAGGCACGCATAAAATCAGCTTTCCGAGTAGAGAATTCAGAATTCATAGGACATACGAAGCGCTTACATAACGAGCAAATGTAATCTCTTGCCGCGGTTATAGACAGTGATTATGCAAGCAGAACACTGCTGATTGATGACTTGCCCGGAATTCAATTATCACATTTTTATCTTCAAATTAGATTTGAAAGAAATATCATGTTTATTCAACAGACAAACTACTGCACTTTGCTAATTCTTTAAAGCTTGCATGCTCCACTTAACCCTTTCATGCACCCTGTAACCTGATGAGCTGTCCACTGCAGTAACCGCTGTCCCTGAAAGGGTTAAATTTGCCACAAAACAGGAAAAGCAGAAATGCATGCCCATAGATGACCACGATGAATCCCACTTGGTGGACCTTGGACCATTTCTAACGTTGTATATTGTTGCTGTACAATAAAAAGCATGTCATTCCAAATTTGGGGAGCTTTTGATCCATAACAGAAGGGACGTTTTTGTGGGGGGATGAAAATAAAACAAATCATGACCTTTACATTGACCATACTTGTTAGGAATTCATTCAACAGCATTATCTATCTATCCATGCATACATCTGAAAGTTAATTCTAATTGTTTTATTATTATTGTTATTATTATTATTTAATTCTATTTGCTCGTGTATCTGACAGGTAGGTCTATCGATAGTCTTGAATTTTGTGATATAATCACTACTTTGTAAATGTTTGACTATGCAAAACCACCAATTAAAATAAAAGATAAACTAGAAAAAAATTAAAATAATAAAAGAGGAAAAATATAAATGGTCATGTTTTTATTTAATTTTTATTACTGGAGACTATATCGACTCAAGAGCGCCTCTACTGTTGGCATTAAATATTACATCGAATTCTAGCTCAAAAGCATCAAGAGACAATAAACCAAAGTTGTCACGCGTGTGGGCCGCGGCGCATTTTTATCAAGGCCCACTGCATATTTACATATAGCAAAATTAAACATGGCTCACATGAAAAGGTTACAAAAAACGTGTGTCAAAACGTTGAAAGCACACTCTTTCTTGTCCTTCGTTCAAAACTCCATTGGCCGTGACAATTTATAATGTTGGAACTCGTGTTTGAATTCGTTGAGTAGTCCATTCAGGTCGTGTGTGTGTGTGTGTGTGTGTGTGTGTGTGTGTGTGTGTCTGTGTGTGTCTGTGTGTGTGTGTGGGTGGGTGTGTGTGTGTGTGTGTGTGTGTGTGTGTGTGTGTGTGTGTGTGTGTGTGTGTGTGTGTGGCGAGAAAAGTGTACTTACTGGCATTGTCTGACTTCCGTGTAGGGCGCCAATTGCTGACTGAGCCTCGGTGTGTGTGGAGAACTTGACAAAGGCGCAACCTGGAGGAGAGAAACACATATACACACACACACACACACACACACACACACACACAACACGGCATGAATGTGCAATCAGTCAAGTGAGGTGAAAACCCGACTGTATGTAAATAAAGGATGTGGAAGTGTATCCGACAGCCCCCCCCCCCCCAAAAAAAAGGGCTGTGTGCCTGCCTGCACAGTGGGCGGGCGTGACAAGCAGGCTGAAGCTGCGGGCAAAAGACTGCACAGATGAAGCAGAAAAGTGTGCTATTTAGCACCGCGCGCCTGTCTGTGCATTTTAAACACGAGCCAGACTCGCAGTCACTCTGGCACACAACAACACGTGGATCGATATTTGTGTGGATGGCGCACAAACCAACAGCTCTCAGCTCAGCATGTCCTTCAGGAATATGGCGGTAAAGCACACACGGGGAGCTTCTTGTTGCCTTTCTACACGTTGCTCATCAATTATTCACTCGCGAAAGTGAAGAATGGATGACACAGATATGGAAAATGTATAGTATTTGTTTAGTACAAGGAAAATATTAGATGTGAGCGCCTATAGTTAAAAATACTCATGGTTGGACACATTTTATTCCAGGAGGGACTGAGGGCAGTTGAAAATGGATTGCTGTAGTGGAGACTGTGGAGGAGCGCATGTTTATTTGGGCCATTTCTTGTCATATATGCTGACCAGGTACTGGAAATATTGTAGTCTCAATTACAGGTCAATGCATAGAGTCCAGACATCAAAGCAAACATGATGCAGTGGCATTTAGCTGTTGTGCTGCATGGGAAAAAAAAAAAAAAAAAAAAAAAAAAAAAAAAGAAAAAAAAAAAAAAAAAAAAAAAAAAACAACAACAACAAAAACAAGTTCAGATCATGACTGCATTACAACTGACATGGCTGTTGTGATTTGAGACTATTGCTTGTGTAATTTCAAGCAGTGTGTGACCTGATACACCCGTGGTTGTGCTAAAAAAAAAAAGAAAAAAAACTGTAAACAGAAGTGTGTAACTACGTTGAAATCCTGATTAAAAAAAAAACATGCTTTTGAAGCTACTGTAAGTGACTCAGTAAACGTCAGTAATATTCGTCATTCTTTACCGAGGATAAAGAATATCTGCTTCTTAATATTATTAAATTGTCTGCCTACACGTGTCAATGCACCGTTTGTGTTCAAATAGCCATCGTTTGAAACTCGCCACACCAATTCTAGCCTGTTTGTCGTGTTTACCGTGACATGTTAGCATTAAGCCAGTGGTCTTTAACACAAAGTTTGACAGTAAACCTCAACTGGGAGAGGCATTAAACAGCTTCCTAAAACTGTTCATATACTGTAGGATCTTGTAGTAGATGTTTTGGCAGAGGGAAAAGCTTCTTTTGCGACTTCAGTTAGCTACCATGCGTCAGGGTCAGCATTGTATGATGCCACTTTTTTTTTTTTTTTTTTATTGTACGATGCCGAGTGGGCTCAGCTTGTTGTGGATCGGGGTGGTTCTTTTTGTCCCGAAACCACATTGCATTGAACGCATCAGCGAAGGAGGATAACGAGGGTCTCCATTATTTCCTTCTCCAGATGCGGAAAGGAGAATGAGTGAAGAATGCGGCGCGCAGTGGTAAGCTACGGTCAATATAACATAATCATCGGTAAATATGACTAAAAAGGGTTGTCTGATGTGAAGAAATAAGTGATTTCCCACTGTTTTAATGGAAAACGTCGAGTAGTGTCGAGTTCCTCGATGCGGAGCACACCGCAGAGCTACACAAAGAAGAAATAAAGCTTCCCTGGGCTGGCCCTGTGCACCCTCACAGCGGGGACATATGAATTGTTTTGACATCCATCTTTCCCTTCCTCCTCCTCCTCCTCCTCGTCCTCCTCCTGCAAACTATTGCAGAGTCACAATGCTCTGGCTTCCAGCCCTTTTAGATATAATTCCACGACAATTTCCATAAGCGCTAGCTGGGGAATAGGCTGCACAGACATGAAAAACAACCGGTCCCCTTGCACTTTGCTATATGTCAGAGGAAATTGATGTCTCCAAAAGTTTGCGGCTACCTCATGCATGCCTAAAGGTAAGAAAAAAAACGGAAAAATTCGAGTGGCACGATGGGAACTGTCTCATAGGATACTACAGTATATGAATTTGCGGACAATGTCGACATACCAAGGCCCTTCTACAGTACGTCGAAAGGTTTGTTTACACTTAGTGTCTTATGTTCTCGTTACATGAGGTTTGACATTTGGGGGCTGTTTTGATTTCAGATCAGCAGGGAGCCACTCTTGATCTAATTGTGCACCGAAGTGGACACAACACCGGGGAGGTACAATCAAGCGCCACGAGATAATGAACGTAATAATTAAGGCTGCTACGTTTGATCAGGTACAATAAAATACAATACATCTTTATTTATATCGCGCTTTCACAACAGCTGCAGCAAATCTTTATCCAGCACCTCATACTAAAGACCCCAGAGTGTTTTCTGTCTTTGTCTGCCTCTTCACTCCTGATTCCTCTGCCCGGGAATGGAAACGCGTCATGCATAAAATGACGACAGTACGGGATTGAAAATCTTGGTTTTGCAATGCAAAAGTTGTTTTTCTCTTGATATGAGATACCTCTCCATGCTGAGGGAGAGATTCTGTGATTGCAAAGTCAGCGTTTTAAAATGATGTGCGCCGTTACTGTATTGTATGTGATTACAATTACTGATAAATGGTTCTGTCCTATTCGGCTACGTAGCAAATGTGCTATCTATGAACTTTTTTTAATCAATAAATGTGTTTCCAGCCTTCAAAAGTACAAATCAGATTGTATACAGAGGTGCTTTGCAAAGAGATGCGAGCTTTATCAGAGTCGGAGTTTCACTCACTGAACTGCCACTTTTCATCCTGGGTGTCAGAAGTGGGATACAATTAAAGTGACAAGAGCATGGAGACACCAGAAGAAACATTTCAAAAATTTTGGAATGGTCCTAGCCTGTCACAAAGTCTACAAAAGTATATGCGCACACGTCTGTACCCTGATTATTGCTGTTTTTTTTTTTCACAAAATAGTTGCATTGCATTTTCATCCACAGCTGGATTCAAACAGTGACATCCTAAAGTGACTGCTGGTGTAAAAACTAAAGACTGACTTCAACAAAAAACTCTGCGATGACTCAGCCCAGAGCTCAGACCAAAATCCAACCCAAAAGCACGGCTCTGCAGTTCAAAACTGTTGGTTCCTATGGACTGAGCTACTGCTGACTCTGGTGTTGGAAATAGTATGCATCCTAATCCCCCGAACGAATGACCTTGGAACTGGAAGAAACTTGGAAAAGCTCAGCCAGAACCCAGACCAAAAATTTAATACAAAGCTGTGGGGCTGTGATATGAGAAGCTCTTGCAATTTTTTATTTTTTTTTTTTGTCCAACATGTTTTAATAGTTCCCTCTGAGCATGTGTGCTTACGTTGGAATTGTCTCACACAGCTGAAATTTACATAAATTATTATCTGTACATTTGAATATTATTTTAACAATGGTTGTGATGACGTTCATCTTTGTAGTACAAAACGACATGTGTGACATTTGGAATTTTTTTTTTTTTCATCAATGCCTAAAGCTGTCCAGCACATCAAACAGCCGAGCGTAAATTGAAGTGAAAACACTTTCGACCTACAGTGTGCGCGATGCGTAAGTCACTTGCATTTCCCGCACAACCTGCGCAGTCACTCTGCCAACGGTGACCTAAATAGTGTTGACAAGTGCGTCCCGGCGCTTTACCTTTGCTGTTGCCATCGGGACCTCTTAGAACCGTGCACTCCTCGATGACTCCGTAGGGTTCGAATAGGCGATAGACGTCCTCCTCGGTCTGTTGTTTGTTCAGCATCCCCACAAACAACTTCCTGTCCTCTGGAAACAAACAAACAGACCCAAAAAAAAAAATGTTGACCTCAATTATAAAGATGATGACAGAGGCAAACATGCATGTTGGTGGAATTATTTCAACCGGGTCACAGTGTAACATCTTTTTTTTTTTTTTTTCCCGTGACGGATCATTTTCATCTGATAGCATCAGTGATCTTACTCCCTGATGAATGCATCTGCGGAAGCTAGTAGGAGCAACAGGGTGGCCAGGAGCAATAATGAGGAAGTTCGACACACATATTGGACATAAACACCGATCCAAATGTAAGTCAAGCAATTGACACGCTCATTTAAGATAATTGTTTTCATTTATTTAGGGCAGCCCGGTGGGCCAGTGGTTAATGCGTCGACCTCACAGTGCGGAGGTGCAAGATTGGATTCCGGCTTCGGCCTCCCTCTGTGGGGTTTGCATGTTGTCCCCGGGCCTGCGTGGGTTTTCTCCGGGTACTCCGGTTTCCTCCCACATTCCAAAAACATGCTTGGCAGGTTAATGGAACACTCTAAATTGTCACACAAGGTATGAGTGTGAGCGCGGATGGTTGTTCGTCTCTGTGTGCCCTGCGATTGGCTGGCAACCGGTTCAGGGTGTCCCCCGCCTACTGCCCGAAGACAGCTGGGATAGGCTTCAGCACAGCCCGGGACCCTCGTGAGGATAAGCGGATCGGAAAATGGATGGATGGATGGACGGATATTTATTGATTTATTGTGGCAGCATGATGAGACCGTAGTGAGCACGTTCGCCTCATACTTTTGAGGTCTTCCTGCTTTGAATTTGCCTGTTGTCATGCTCATGTTCACATCCAAGACTGTCAGCGAGCTTTCAATGAGGTATTGACAGTGACGAGGTACGCATGTTGTTAAAACCCAAATTGGGATCGCCGATTGATTTCAAGCTCTCACCGTCAGTGCAGGAAAGGTGCGACCCCAAGTTTGAAAAGGTATTTAGCTCACAAACGCAGCTGTGTCAATTCCCCCCCCCCCTGCCCGGGCATTCCAAACCGATCTGTACCGCTTGGTGGAAACATGGCTCCTTGGAACTTCAGTCTCCCACACAACACTTCCAGTACCGGCTCCCTCATCCATATCCCTCCACCCACCACTATTCATCTCCTCTTTCTCGTTCCTCCACGCTTATTCCACATTTTCCACAGCCATTCGTTCTTTTTTTTTTTTTTTTCGCCGACTGCCGTCCACTCTTTATCTCTCTCTTACTCCTCAACTAATTGCTGCTGATCCAGTGCTTTTTTTTTTTTTTTTTTGTGTCGCCAGAGAAATATTTCAGTGCGCCGCTCAGCTGAACAATGGCCTCGTCTCTGCCTGGCAGCCGCGGCTGCCGAGACACGGCGTGAATAACGCTGACTTTTCAATAGGTGACAACTTCTGTTGAACGCAGCGTGGGGGTGGGGGTGGGGTGTGATCTTTACCTTGACCTGACACATTGTGTTTACTGATGTACTCTAATGCGACAGTGGCGCCGCTCTCTGCAGGCTGGCAGAAGAATCACTTAAAAACCTGCGCTTCAAGTCTTTGATTCTAATGCATATACGTGCACCACAAAAATCGTTTTTTTTTTCTCCATTAAGTCTAGAAAGCAGAAAACACAAAAGAAAAGATGTTTAAGCACACCGTTTCCACCCAAACTAATTCTTCTGAAAACAAAGGAATGAATACGGAATGGAAATCTAGGACAGAGCGACATCGAAGCCCGAGGCTCTGAGCGAATGCATTTCACACAGAAATGCACAGGCTTGACTGTAACCAAATAAAGTGGCTCCAGCTTGCTAAATTTTGCTGCCAAATGAGCATCTCCTCATGTGAAAGCAGCCAAGGGACACTCGGTTAAAAATGTTACTGATGCATGCAGATGTACTCATAGGTCAAATTTCCCAGTCTGGGGAAGCTCGCTCCATTCACTTTCTGCCAGCTTTCCTGTAAGTCCTGTACTGTATTTCTGCTCTAATAAATAGCCTGCATGAAGTCATCTCCATTCTATTTCCATTGTCCGTGTGAAGATACAAACGCCAGACCTTGTATATATGCCCTGGGGGGCGGGGGGATACCAGCAGGTGTTGCGGTAGTCAGTCTCATTATTTAAATCCTACTTTCAAAAACTGAACTCGACTTGAAACCATACTTTGAGAATTGAAACATCGACTTGACACCATCAAACAAATTGGAAATCCTTGGAACGCAAATCGAGCTTGAAAGCCTTAACCAGGCCCGAAACCCAAAATCCTGATTTGAAACTGTGAACCAAGGTTTGGAATTGTCATTTATCACCACCACCCAGACTTGAAGACCTAATTTGAAAACCTCATCACAGGGCCAAAATGTACCATTTGAAGCATTTATGACCTTGGCGTTGTCTTGAAACCCGAATTCTTGTTTGAAACCATAAACCAGGTTTGAAACTCAAAAGGCTAAATTGAAACCATGACCCAGTCACACCTTTAAAATCCTAACCCAGATATGAAATAACATATTAAAACTAAAATTGTGGTTTGAAATCCTTATTTAAAACACTAACACAGTCTTGAATTCATAATTTGAAACCTTATCCATGGCTTGAAACTCCATTGAAAAAAAAAAACCAAAACAACTAGGATAGGAAACCATACATTGAATCCCTAATCGTCATTTAAAACCCAAATTTGAAATCCAAACACAGACTAATTTGAGCAACTTCAGACAATATTCTGAAACTTAAACTCCGGCTTGAAACCCTACTTGCAAACCTTACCCCCATTATTTTCCAATTGTCAAGGTTTTTCATTCAACTCACTGAGGCAGATACGAGCCAGGCCTGTATTTCACTGCCCCGCCCCCTGCTGGTTGCGGCCAAGTATTGCTCCCTTGCCTCCCTTTACTTTTTGACCCAGGCACACCTTTAAAATCGTAACCCAGATATGAAGTAACATATTAAAACTAAAATCGTGGTTTGAAATCCTTATTTAAAACACTCACGGAGTCTTGAATTCATAATTTGAAACCGTATCCATGGCTTGAAACCCCCCCCCCAAAAAATAACAAAACAAAAAAAAAAAACAACTAGGATAGGAAACCATACTTTGAATCCCTAATTGTCATTTAAAACCCAAATTTGAAATCCAAACACAGACTAATTTGAGCAACTTCAGACAATATTCTGAAACTTAAACTCTGGCTTGAAACCCTACTTGCAAACCTTACCCGCATTATTTTCCAATTATCAAGGTTTCTCATTCAACTCACTGAGGTAGATACGAGCCAGGCCTGTATTTCACTGCCCCCCCCTGCTGGTCGCGGCCAAGTATTGCTCCCTTGCCTCCCTTTACTTTGCGACAACACAACAAAGTCATCGACAGTCAGAACTTGAAATCAATCAAATTCCATGCGATCAAATTCTCGTTCCTATCTTCCGCTGTGTCTACAACAGCGTGTCATGTTATTTTTCCTGACCTGAAACTGTGACATTGCGATAGTGACGCCCAGCTATGGTTTCACAGCATCGGGCCGGTCGGCGCAAATGATACACCTTTAAAATAATCAAGCCTGTCAGAGTGTTATCTAGGGAGGGCGCGTTCCTGGTGCTGGCTGCTTATTGCAAGTGGCAAGATCAGAGGCTACGTATCACCGCGGACGTGATGCAACGTGACATCTGTCAGGGTAGATAGGAGAGCATTTATCTGCAAATAAAAAAAAAAAAAAGTGGGGGGGAAGGAAAGCCTTGAACTGGAAAATGAAAGGCTGAGATGGTCCTTCTTTCTTGCTGGAGGGGGAAATATAAATTCTGAGGTTAGATGATGTAGAAGGAGGGCCACACACACGGTAAAGTTGCTCCTTCAAGAAGATGATGGCGGTCTGTTGGATTTTAGACCAATGCAAAGCCTCACACATCTTGATGAACACATGAGAACCTGCGACTAAAATGGACAAAAATGTGCTACCGATGGTGGAAAGCAAGCACATGCAAGTACCCTGCCCTTGACCAGCTTATCAGCTGTGGAATAAAAAAAAATTCTGCTACCGGTCTATAAATCAGGGGAGAAATGAAAATTGAATACAAAGCCCACCGATCCCCGAGGTCGGTGACCTCGGGTCAGTTAGGTTTCAAAGTAAACATGGTGAAGCAGCAATCAGCTGTTATGCTGCAAACTATGTTTGAGTGTTTTTTCTTTTCCCCCATAGCTTTAATTCCGATATTTTAAGCATTAAAACCAACTTCACTGTCAGTAATTTTGGAAAGATACTTTCTATTTCTTGACTTAGCTTTCAATTGTCTTTAAATGTTGTCAAAGTACGTTATTTGAACGTTCTCTCTGCGTTGCATTTGAATGTCTTTAGCTTTTCATAAAAGTGCTTTTAGGTGTTTTGATTGTGTGACTGTGTCGATGCAATGTACCATACAAACAAAACTGCCGTGCCTTGCCTTGATAGCTATACTCTGCATGTAAGTACACGAACAATTAATTATATGTTTGGTATCACGATGTGTGCAAGTCGTCTAAAGGTAGGAGTTAGCGTTATCGAGAATATCGCCGTAACAGTGTTGCGATGGAAATCCTTGTTTTTCCTTTCTTGGACGTCACAACGCTGCGATTTCACGGCTCTTAGGTGCGAACCGTCCTACTGTTTTCTCTGAGATGTTGCGAGGAGAAACGGCACTAATAAGCCACCTCATGAAGGCTACGGAGCGCGGCGGCCGCCTTACAGTCGGCGATGTCAGCTCAGTGGGTTAGCGCGCCGGCTTCAAAAGCTACAATGCTAATTTATTTTCAAAATCGGTCAACAAAGTATTCTTCATTTCTCTCTCTCCCTCCGTAGAGGAAGAAGAAGAAAATGGGGCGTGATGACAAAAAATGTCTGCTTCTCATTGACGGGATGAAAGGCTCGTTGCTCAAGCGCTAATTTGGCAGGGTGCTGCTACCCCGAGGCACCGCCAAACTTCGGACGTCTTCCCTCATTGGCTGCTCCCGCCGGTGATCCTTAACATGCTTAGCATCCAT